GGGAGCCGCAAACCAAGGGTATCTCTTGCTTCTTTCTTCCGCCAATTGTAGCTGAGTTTGAAGAACGCCTTCACTTGCTAGGCGCATTCGTAGATAGTGCACTACCTATCGAAAATGACACATGTTGACTCCAGTAAAGATGCGTCAGCATAACTGGGCACTGGGTCCAAATCTGCTTGTGCACGAGCATCCACCACCTCCAGCATGGATAGCAGCACATGCATGCAAATTACTGCCAAACTTCTCTGCCCCGGTCGACTGTCACTCAATGATTCAACGACCAAAGTATTGCATTCTGAATCGCCCCAGCCGAGCATCCACTGTCAACGGATCCCAACCCAAAATGCAAGAAAGCGGCCTGCCTCTGAGTCGGTTCCGCTGGAAACAATGTGCACCGCGCCCTGGCAGGGAGCCAAATACTTTGGCTCCAGCAAAGCGGGAAAGCGAGCTGCTGCCCAATCAGTGGAAGAAGATTCTACGACATCAGGATACTCTCTAGCACAAAACAAAACCTCAAACTGCTTCTTTACCAAAGACTCAACCGGGCAAAGCCAAGCGTGGGTCAACGTGCACGCATCGGCCTCCTCTGTGCACAAAGCCAGAGTTCCGTTCCTCGGCAAGGGCTGCGGCTCTACGTCTGCCTGCACTGAAAAGAGCTTAGCTGTTCCTCCCCCATCAATTTTCTGAAAGGCCTTGCCTTTCCACTTGCACGATGAGGCATATTTCACAGAGACCGACCCAAGAGCCCCTGTTCAGCTTCGCTCTAAACCACCCTAGAAGTGGCGCATGCAACAATCCTCAGACCCCAACCAGGAAGGTAGGTTAAACGCTAAACACGGGCTGCCAAAGCCGTCGGCCTACCTTCATCGCCAAAGCTTCGCCGGCTGCAGCCAGCAGTGGTCCGTGAAGGTAGCCGCGTAGAGCTTGAGCTCCTCGATGGGCTGCAGGCGCTGCATCTCCTGGCGTCGTGTGGTATGAACCTTGACTCGCTATGCGAAGGACATCCAAAGAAGTATGAGGATTTGTTTTTGCAGCAAATCTTGCAAGGCATCCGTTCTGTCTTGCATTGGGTCGAGATCTGAGCAAGAGGTAAAAAAAAAGGAGAATTCTTCCAAAAAAAAAAACAAGCAGATTCAAGCGCAATTGCGCACATTTCGCTTGAGTGCTGGCACTTTACTCAGGCTTTGATCTGCAGGCGGAAGTGCGAACTTGACGCTGGGTAGGTTGCCGGGTGCGAAGGCAACCAAAAACCCGGGCTCTTTAGCCGAGGCATCACTGGTGCTGCTACAAGTACTGGTGGAGCAGGTGCGCCCGAGCTTCTGCTGCACAAGTTCATCAGCTTGCAGACAGTCCATGCTTTGAAGCACAGAACAACGTGAGTCTTGCACCGCGCTTCTGGAAGCAACCTGCTTTTTTGGGGGTCAACGAAACAAGCGGTACATTTCAAGACTGGACACAACTGCCGCGCTGTTGTTTTCAACCCTCCGCCGGGGCATTTAGTCGACGCTCAAACGAAGGACTTGCAAAGGCACTCTTCAAAAAACGCAAACAAACCCTTGCCCAGGAGCCTTGGCTTCCAGCTTCGCATCCTCTCCACCCTCGCTGTCTCGGAATTCCCTGCCGGCAAGCTGAATTCAAACACGCAGAACTCCAGTGTGCCGTGAGTTCCTCAGCTGGACTTCTCATAGAATCTGGGAGATGCATGAAAGCCTGTACTCCCTGGCTGTGTTGAAAGCAGCTGCCCTCTTGAAACCAAGCACCGCCAGCAAGCAGCGCACACACATGCCAAGAGCGAATGCGCGAAAAGCATCTCGGTGCAGTGCTTCCAACGACTCCGACGTTTGTTGTTGGGAATCCAAGTGAAAAAAGGTTGTCAACCAAAAAAGTGCTGCCCAAGGCTTCAAAATGATTATGCAAATCTCGTGAAATGATCATAAGTAAAATAGTTAAGCTGGATGCACCTGGGCTGTTGGATGCCCAACACTGTCTCACACTGCCAAGCATAGGAAACTTGCTTGGCCGACCTCCACCACCTGCCCCCCCCCCCTCCACTGCTTCCCTCCTTGGGGCCCCCTGCTTGAGCACCCAAAGGTCGAAGCAGTCGGGCCCTGACCCGGAGATCAGCTCCGAGTCCAGGCGGCTGAAGGCGATCCTACCAGCGGATTCGGGGCAAAAAAATGGTTCAGACATCCCGAAATCCGAAATGAGCTCCTTCGAAAGGAAACCACATGAAACCACCTTCCTTCCTACCCTTGAGGGTTGTTTGAGGCTTAAACAAAAAAGACGGCCCCTGCAATTGGGATTGGCACTCCGTCATTAGGGTGTGTTGCTTCAATGACGTGTGGTGACTCCTGGGAGTGTGGGCAATCTGTGCGTGTGTTCTCAATATGTTTTTCTCCTTTCTCCCTCCCTCCCTCCTTCTTTCCTTCCTTGCGTCCTTGCGTCCTTGCGTCCTTGCGTCCTTCCGTTTCCCGGAAAGGGTGGTGGGACCATTCATCCACCCAATGGCGAGGTGCATGGACCTGTCCCTGAGTCTGAGTGCGGCAAAGCTGCCTGGTGAGCGGCCCATCCAGCATAAATCGCCCGATCACCTCATTCAGACGCCAGTTCAGGACGATGATCTGGGCATGGCGGCCGCTAGAAGCCACGCAAAGCCTGCCGCTGAGAGCACGCAGTGTAGCCGCATCTTCCTCTTGGCTCTTTTTTGCAGACTGTGTGAAGAACCCCGAACACATCCCAAGAGGAGCGACACATAAGTCCCCACAATCAGCGCCGAAGGTTTTGAAACAAACAAACCTCCTCCTTCGTCCGCACCCACCCACCCACCCACCCGGAAAAAGGAAAAAAAACTAACAAAAACTAACACACCTCGCTGGGGGAGGAAAAGATTCGATTTGCCCCCCCCCCCCCCAGCAGAAGGTCGCAGCTTTCGTCTCTCGCCTGGAGGAGGCCTCCTCCTTCGCGCCATTGGCACGGCCGGCGGAGGAAAAGGCCACTGCGGTGATGGGGCCCACGTGGCCATCGCGGCCCTGGAGCTCCTAGCGGAGAAACAGCCCACCTCACCCACGGAAAACACGGGAAAACGCCCAGCCACCCCACAAAAGGGTAAATCTGCAGGAAATTGTTTTGAACGAATTTCTAACATTGTATATCCCATTCCGGCAAAGCTTTGAACCGCAAGTTTCCAGTGCCAACCTCAAACCTCCTGCATGGAGACAGCGCTTGCACCTTCGAGGCTTGGATTCCGGATTCGCGCCTCCAAGGTCTGCACCGGTTGGTTGGTGGCCAGCGGCCCCAACTCGTACACCGAGACTTTGCTCTTGTTGCGGTGCCGGCACACCGCCAGGAAGCACCGGTCCCGCGAGGCCGCGCACGAGGTGATCGCCTGCGCCGGCGAGCTGGCATGAGACGCGCTGGATCGGCTGAGAAAAACAGTTCGTGAAAGCGCAATGTAGATCAGTGGAAGTTGCCAGAAAGGAGGCACATGTAATGAGACTCAGAGACTGAGGCTGGCGGAAGACAACACCGAAAATGAGAGGAGGTGAGATGAGGTGAGACGAGTTGAGATGCGTGAGATGAGGTGAGATGCGTGAGATGAGGTGAGATGAGGTGAGATGTGAGATGCAACTAGCTTCAGCCAATCCATCACAAATTGCCCGGCTCAAAGTTCATGACACGCTGGTGCTAGAAGACTTCAATGAGGGGGGAGAGGCCGGCCAAATAATGGCAATGCCAAAATTGCGTTAGGCTTAGGTTCTATTTGCGCCCTTTTCTGGGAGCTCTTGGATATCCTTTCAGACTTCCATTGTTTCAAGGCCAGCCAAACAATGGCAACGACATGTCCAGTAGGCAAAGTCGGAAAAGGCGCAATAGAAGCAACATGCAAAGGAGAAGCTCATCGCCAATCGAATCCAACTTGTCCAGCCTCGGTCTCGTCCGTCTCCTTTGCAAAGGTCACCTGGCACTTCTGCAACCCGCAGCGTGGGGAAAAACAGCCTGGGAGTGGTATCATGTTGATTTCCCTTCCAAAATTCCAGATGGAAAATCGACCAAGGCAGACCTTAGTAAAGTAAACATGGCGCAGCTCTCCGAAGAATGCGTGTGCCACGCATGCAACTGCGGTGAATATACCGCAGGGTACTGGTCATGTAATTGAGAGACATGTCATTCCAAGGCCCGGCAAAACCCGTTTCTTGCCCACACCACGTTGGTGGAAAAAAAATGATCCAGGTTTTTGGACTGGAGCCAAGACTCTAAGACTTCAAGAGACTTTCTGAGCGCCATCACTGCCCCTCACTCGAATTGCTGCTTGACTTCCACGGTGGCATTGCCTACCCTTTACACGTGCAGTCACCAGACGGCAACAAAAGTAACTTGTTCCCTGATGAGTCACCTACCTTTCTCCGCCTCCGTTTGAATTTGCAGAAGGCTCTTTATGCTCTTTTTGGGGGGCTCAGAACTCAACATAGGGCTCCGCAGAACTCTACGAACTGGGTTGGTTGGCATTGCGACGCTCGCTCCCCGCACCTCGCCGCCCTGGAGGTTGCGGAAGGCCAACTGCCTCCCCACCGCATGGGCCAAGTACTGGCCGGCGATGTCGCCTCAAAATCCGCCCGCAGGAAATCCGAACGTGTGTCCTTTTGCTTGCTGCGTTGGCAACCCTTTCCCTACCCGGACCACCATCCGACCGCGAAACGAGGAAACCCCCGTCGGGGCGCCGAAGAGCACGGTCTCCCGCAGGCGGCCATGGGACCCGAAGCCATGGGCCACCTCCCGAAAACTCCGTCAGGCCGGGCTGGCAACCAAGCCCAATTCCGGAAACCGTTGGCAAGGAAGAGCCCTTTGTGGCTGGCAGCAAAGTTGACGAAAAACACCCCATGACTCTCCTTACGCCCAGCTTGTGGAACGGTTCCAATTGGCTCGATAGGCCCGGCCTCCAGCGAAATGCCCGCTGAAGCCCGGTCATTTGCAGAGCCTCGCCGAGTCCCCGGGTGTGTCGTATGACGGCGACTTCTTGAGTTGAGTCGTGTGTGTGTGTGCCTGCTACATTGTCCCAGCATGCAGCATAGATGGCGCGGAAGCTGAAACTCTGCACTTGGTTCGCCGGTGAAACTACAGGTTGACACTTCGCAAAGAGCGAGCGTCTCAAGGCTCAGCAGCCTGACGTTTTGTTTTCACCATGCTTTCCTGGATAAACCGCATTTCTTGCAAACAGGAGAGGATCTGGCATGTTCGCAGAGTGAGAACCCTTCAACTCTTGTAAAAGAAAAAGCCCATCTTCCAATGACCAAAAAAATCCCACATTCGGATAAATCTTTAGTGCCAATGGACGGCTGGGTAGACAAAGATCAACAGTACATGGCTGGATTGCCGCTCCGAAACCTAAAAATCTAGAAGCCTCCACGGAACGGACCTAAAAACCCTCGTACCAGTCCTAGACTCCTGGCCATGTTCCAACTCATCGACCACGACGCACACTTTCCGCCTCGGTCGCCCACGGAGGAGCGCCTCTCCATGGCGCGAGTTGCATGCCCCCGGATGTCTTTGGGAACTGGAGCCATTTCCATCGGTGCTTCCCGATGTGGCCTTTGGCTGCATGCTGCAACTTTCAACTAGGTTGGTTTGCTCAAAGGACCTGGGTGCAGCTCCAATTGCTCTCAGCACCCAACCGGAATTGTGGGGTTCTGAACTCTGAACAGTCGGCCCCCGGCTATGACTGTGGAGCCGAAACACCAAACGTGCGATGACAGGATAATCAAACGTAAGACTACTGAAAAATGTGCTGCGCGTAGTTCAAAAGCCCTTCTCAAGCAGGCCCAGGTTGCATGCGTTTGAGTTTAAACTCTTACCTTCTGCGTAGTCTTCTAATCACAGCATGGGCAATTGGCATGTGCTCCTACAGTACCAGGTTCAGGTTCGACTCTGCCTCCTGACCTGCAAGGTTGTTTTGGAGCATCGCATCCATCCGGAAAGTCGTGCCTTGGGCATCATTCCCAGCTGGCCAGTGCTTCCCCATTGGTTCATAAGGTACTCGATCTGCTCCAACACAGCTGTGGACTGCAGATCTTGGTGCAAAGGAAGCCGGTAAACGTCAAGTGTCGCACATCGCCAGTGCTTCAGACATGTTCAGATTTGAAGAAAGGAAGGGATTCCGAAATCGGACCAAATCTTCAACGCCACTCGCTGACTGTCTCGGTGGCCTCCGCTCGTTGTCTTTAGCCGCTCTCAGCCACTCACTAGCTGGGTTTTGACCACTCAGTGCGGCTGGCAAATGGAGGGGTCAAAATCCATGGCCCACGAAGAATGGTTAGACTATCAGAACTATCTCCCTTCTCTGCTTTTCTCGCGCTGCCCGCTCTCTGCTCCAGTGAAAAGACAGCTGCTGTGGTGCAGGCTGGGCGCGGCCAAGTCCCAGCTTACGTGAACCAACAGGAAAAATGCACTTGTATGCTACACATTTAAGCCGCAACAGACCTGGCCACTCTCCAAGTGAACGCAATAATGAATTGCGCACACTCTCTGCGAGTGCAGACTCCTGGCCAGCGCAACACGACGGGCTTGAGGCTGCAACTCTTGGGAATACAAAATCAGAATGCCGTTCAGAACCCTCAGCCTCCGGTAGCTTGTTCCCTCTAAAGTATCAGTTTGCCAAGGACCAACCAGGGCTTCATTATTGCAGCATGGGAGTTTGTTCTTGTGCGTTTTCTTCCAGTTATTCAAAAACATGCAAACACCACCCTTGTTTTGCAGACAGACCAACATGCTTTCGGCTGGCAACTTCTGCGTAGGGGTCTTGGCAGGAGTCAACCCGGGGGTATTTGTTGCTGTTTCAGAAGGGGGTGCGGAGCCCGTCCGCACACACTGCAAAGTTTGAATGGATGTGTTCAAGATTGTCGCTCCAGAACTGGTCCAAGCAGGGACTGAGCAATCACAAAGTCCGCAAGACAATCGAATGTCGTCAACATGGGAACCCTCAGCTCAGCATGCACAGGCTCTTTCTATTTCCATCAATCTCGAAAGCTCTTCCTCACGATCGTGAGGAGCTATACATTCATCGATCAACTTGAATTCCACGATTCATCCTGTGCATGTGCAACAGCTTAGCCGTGCACACGCCAGGTTTCCACACTGATTCCTTCGCTACTCGGCCTGAAATGAAATCCCCGATTGTCTGCGGTAAATTCGACGATAATCCAGCGGGAACAAAGCTTTCATGAATTCCATCCTTGCCAAAAGCAGGATGCTGAAATCCGCAAAGAAGAAAAAAAGTGAACCATCAGCTCATCTTGGGGGAAAAAAATAACACCCCCAAAGCCTGGAACCATTTCAGCCCAGCGTCTCCGTGATACCTCCATCGCCGTTCTCATCGAAAGCCAAGAAGAGCTCGGAGGCCTCCGAAGGCTTCATACCTGGAACTTCGTCTTGGCTCTTCAGTGGTCGTCTTTTTCGTTTTTTGTGGTTTGCTTCTTGTGTTGTTGGTTTTTGTTCAGTCGTTGTTTCAGTTGTGTTTCTCGTGTTGTTATTGTTGTTGCTGCTGCTGTTGTTGTTGGTGTTTTCCCTGGAATGGCGAGAAAAAAGAAAAAAAGAAGAGGCGGGGACAAAGCGACCCGAAAAAGTTGCAAGCTATGTCTTGCAGAAGGTGCCGATGCGCATCTTGGCGACCAGATCACAGAACTCATCCATTTCCAGCTCCCCGTTGCCGTCCTTGTCAAACTTCCCAAAGAGTTTGGGCATGTGCTCCGCCGTGTAGCCGAGGTTCTTCAGTTTCCGGCGAGTCTGGCTGATCAAAACGATGCGGTGTCGATCGGCCCAGGTCTGCGACATGGCGTTGCCCAGCACTGACAGAGGCATTGCCATAAACAGAACCTAGGCAGAAAAATCGAAAGCCATGGCAGCAGAAAGTCAAGAAAGAGGAAAGCCTCTTCAGACAAGAGACACTGGTCAGGCACAGAGCCCCAGCCATCGTCTTCCCCACTGGAGTCACTGGATTCATATCACAGGTCCCGACAGTAGTCACCGTCACCGTGCACAGGTAGACGGATGTGGCCAAAGAATCCATGGTATCAGGCTCCAGGACATAGAACGCGCATCCAAAGACAAGCACAATCAAGCAGACCAGAAAAAGCAACAGCTTCAAGGCATCCATGGTTGTCGACAACACATGCAGCAACAGCTGCAATTTCTGGAACTTGCGGATAAGTTTGAGCTGCCTCACGACAGGCACGAAACCTTAGATCCACGCAGAGCTTGCTAAAGAAAATTCCCAATCCAAAATTGCAAAGCTGAAAATCCAAAACCGAGGTCATCCGGCCTTTGTCATTCGACTTCTCTGCTTTGGGGGCATTTAGGACCGACATCTTCACCATTTTGTGTACTGTACAATGTCTAGAGCCCTCCCTCCTACTTACCTTTCCAAACAACTAACTCGCAAATGATTGAGGCCATGAAAGTTAGGAAGCAATACAACATGTAGTGTACCGCTGCATTCTCATCCTTGGTCGGGGTTGCAATGCCAAACGGGATCCGCAGTGCGATTGGAAGGATGGCGATGAAGTCGATGATGTTGTACCTCCAGCAAAAGGCCGGTAAACGAAAGACTCGTTCAGTTGTCCCCTCCCCACACCCAACAAATCCTGAACCCCTCCCATCCGCGAATCGTAAACCTGTGACTGTTCAGGCAAGCTTCGGGTTCTTCAAGAAGGCTCTCCTTTCGCCACTCCTCGTCGAAAAGAAGTGGGCCAGTAACTCCACCAGCATCAGACCCTCGAAGCCCAGTTGGATCCCACCCTCGAGGAAGCGAGGCACCACCGGCTGGGCATTGGCTTGCCACACGGTGAAAATGATGGCAGCTGTCACGAAATAATTGCTGAACTTGGCGTACACCCAGGCTGCTTTGCTTGAGTCCTCATCCTGCATGAAGAGGTAGAGGTCCGTGACTGTTGCTTGACGCTTGAAGAACTCGGAAAATGAAGCGTTGCTTGGCCTTTTGGCATTTCTTCGTTGGGGTGGGGGGCCGGTTGGCATCTCATCGTTTGGGGTACTTGTGCTACTAAAGCTGGCAGACGTCTTGGAGTTGGAAGAATTGTCTGAAGAAAATGACTCCTCATTCTCCTTGTGCACCTCAGGTTGTTGGGGATGATCGGCATTATTGGGCTGATGAGGCAGGTTCACAGCATCTTCTGGAAGCACCAAAGCATGTGAGACGGGAAACACTTGTGGTTCTAGCATCTGTGGAGGGCTGTGAGGGGTGTGCGGAAAAAGATGAAAGCCCTCCGGCTTCGGGACTCTCGGCCCGCGACCCGGCTTGGGGGTTTTCAACTCCAGCGAGTCTGCCGAACCGGAGGCATCCGAGTCTTCTGACACGGCCGTTTTGGAGGCGAGCCGTGGCTGCGTTGTGCTCATTGTGCTCCGCGGCTCCTCCGAAGAGTCTGAGTCCGGAGCAGAAGTTCGGCTCATCAACATCTTGCGGCGGAAGTCCGGGCCATCGTTGCCACCCTTCTTCTGCAAGCCCAAGATGTAGGGCTTGGAAAATGCCTCGGTCTCCGAAGGCTGCTTGCTTTTGCAAGCTACGAGATCTCGCTCGTGGTGCTGGAGGATCTCCGTCTTCAAACGCTGAATCAGCTGCTCCAAGTGCCCGCTGAAAGCAGACTCCATGAGAGAAGCCCACAAGAGACGCGAGACTCTGCCTGAACTAAAGATGTTTCCGAAAACAGGGCAGTAATGATTCGGGCCAATTTGGCATATGTGTTCTCTTTTTGTCTGTCTCATGCCAATTTGTGGCCAGTGCCTCTTTGGGTAGACAGGTGCGGCTCATGCAACGCTTATTGGGCTGTTCTCAGAACCAAATGACCTCTCTGCGACTCTTCCAAGTCTTGAAACCTGGAGATGGGCTGGACGCAGCACCAAACTTCCATCAGGAAGTCATGCAAATCGATGTCCAAAGCACACAAAAAATCAAAATGGCATGTCGCAACTGAAATCCTTCAAAAGCTGGCGAAGCCCCTTCTGGTTTGATCTGAAATGCGTTTGAACTGCCGTATGGCCTGCGTCAAGCATTCCTTCTGCCCTCAAGCGCGCTCCCTTGTTCTGTTGGGTTTCAGACCCAGCAAACAGATACATAGCCAGCCCAGTTGTTTGCTTATGAGTCCATGTTTAATCCCAAAGCAGACTAAGTGTGTCACTTTGTAGGTATCCTAAATTTTGCAAGGCAAGCAGCGCCACCACACTTGCTCATTGTAGAAACGACTGACCAAAACATGACTCACAGACTTGCATAATTGAAAAGGAACACGGAGCCTGCCAGGGCACATCTTGCCTATGCCCTATGTGAGCCCACGGTTCCCCCTGCTGAAGTGCCTCGCAGAGAAGACTTCGCCTCCGCAGAATTCCGTCGTTGCATGCAAGTACGTCGTGACATTCAAGAGAAACATAACTCCAAAAGCGAAGAAAAACAAACAAACAAAAAAAGCTTTTTCCCCTGCTGAAGAAGGGAAACAAATGCAGGCATCATGATCTCATAGAGCGTGGAAGGTGTGTTGGTGTATCAGCATGACGGCTGTGAGCGGCTGCAGTGATGTCGGGTTTGATTTCATGTATGCTGTGTGTATTGGAAATTTGGGTTGCTTGGGAAAATCGGTATCAAAATGCAAGCTTGGATGCATGTCCTCCTTCCGGATTTGCGAAGAACTCAATAAAACATTCTTCAGTCCCAGAATTCCCACTCCTCCACGTAACAAACCTCAAACCGACTTTCCCCTAAATTCGTAGCCATGTCGTTTTCAAACCCACCGGCCGACTCCACCTCGGCCGCTCGCGGAAGAACGTCCTTCCATGGCGCCGCAAGTGTCTGAGTGGCAGGTTGCTGATGTGTCCACCACAAATGGGAAAAACCACATAATGCATGCATCCATAGTTTTCGTCGCAACTTTGAAAGAAGTTGTTGGCATGAAACACATGGGCGATGCTCAAACAATCATTTCACCCAACCTCACCTTTTGCTCTGAACTGTCAGCTGCATACCTGTGTGGCACCGGAAGGTAAGAATCCAACAAGTGCCACGACCTCCCGCTCAGCGAGAAGTACAGTTCCAAAGTGTCACACACTTAGACTCCAGATGGAGGGTGCTAATCCTTTCGAGTACAACTGGCAAGTCTCGGCTTGGATAAGGTTCTTCATGAATAAGTTTCGGCTCGCAAAGCACTCGGCTTCCCTCTAGAGGCGAAAACGTTACCCGAAAGAACAAGAAGCACAAGCAGCGCCGCAACCAAGGGGCCAAATAGACTTTCAGAATCACGCAAATGTTGCAGGCACACAGCACGGCGTCCCGTGTTGCTTCACGACAACTCTGGACGGTCTTCGTTGGGCAACGCGACCCAGAGTGTCCGTTGCCGGGGCCCTCAGTTTGTTGGGGCCTATGCGAGATAAGCCCCCCCTGCATGTTGACAAGTTGGCATCAGGGTAAATCTGATGCTCCGCACACACACGCCCCCACAGGGGCAAGTGACGGGGCGGCTCTGCCTGCCAGACAACTTTGAAACGGACCTATGCCAGGGGTGGCTCAGCCAGACGACCTTGAAACGGACCTATTCGAGGGGGTGGCTCTGCCTGCCAGACGACATCGAAACGGACCTATACCAGGGGTGGCTCTGCCTGCCAGACGACCTTGAAACGGACCTACGCAAGGGGTGGCTCAGCCTGCCAGACGACCTTGAAACGGACCTATTCGAGGGGTGGCTCTGCCTGCCAGACGACTTCGAAACGGACCTATACCAGATGTCTCTGCCTGCCAGACGACCTTGAAACGGACCTACGCAAGGGGTGGCTCAGCCTGCCAGACGACCTTGACAAGACGATCCGCAACATCATGGAACAAGCATTGCGCAAACAGAACATGCGCGCGCAACCCGAGCATTGCACAACCAGAACATCAAGTTCAACGGCATGGATGCAATCAGCAAGCAGCTCCCAGGCACTTGTGAGACGTAGCTATGATCTGGTGGCTGTCTTCCCTTTAGTGAAACCTCGTTCCTGCTTAAATGTGAAATTCCGCTGTTCTATGATAAGCACGTTGAGGTCAAATTTTCCGACAAAGCCGGCCCGGGGTCACACGATGGGTACACCCGAGGATTCCCCACGAATGGGGTGTACACACTTAAACTCCAGATGGAGGGTGCTAATCTTTCGAGTACAACTGGTAAGTCTCGGCTTGGATAAGGTTCTTCATGAATAAGTTTCGGCTCGCAATGCACTCGGCTTCCCTCTAGAGGCGAAAACGTTACCCGAAAGAACAAGAAGCACAAACAGCGCCGCAACCAAGGGGCCAAATAGACTTTCAGAATCACGCAAATGTTGCAGGTACACAGCACGGCGTCCCGTGTTGCTTCACGACAACTCTGGACGGTCTTCGTTGGGCAACGCGACCCAGAGTGTCCGTTGCCGGGGCCCTCAGTTTGTTGGGGCCTATGCGAGATAAGCCCCCCCTGCATGTTGACAAGTTGGCATCAGGGTAAATCTGCTGCTCCGCACACACACACACACACTCACACACACGCGCGCGCGCGCCCTGCTTGCAACCAGCTGAACAACTTCGGGCGGCAGCGTGCCCAACGAAAGTTCAGCACCCAACGTTACCAACCAAAGTTTCCTGCTCCTTCTCGCGCAAGTGAAAACGCTTGTTAACCTACCCCTGCTACCAACACTTGCAAACGGCGTTAAGGCAGGAGCGGCAAACACCTATAAACTCCCAAGTCGGCGTAGCAGCTTGCACACACTTGAGCCCGCCGCCTCTCGGGGGCAGTCTCCAAACCCGTGCCAAAAAAGGCTCCCCTCAACACAGACACACGGGCCGAAAAACAGCCCGCATTCTTGTTCATACACTTTTGCGAGCAGCACAAACCAAGTCCGCGCAAGAGCTGTTTGGAGCTCTCACGGCGGGCGCAAAAACAAACCCGAAGACCCTGCCTAGCAACGCGAAACTGCCTAAAAAATCTGTGCGCCGACGTGCAAGACTACAGCGACACATCAAGTTTGTTTCGTCATCTTTCAAGCAAGGAGATTGGCTACAACAGCTTACTCTGTTGCCGCTGCAGAACCAAGCGCACGCCTGCGACGCTACTCGCCGCAGATTCACAAAACTTTCAGTTGTGCTTGCGCAAAGCATCGAACGCAGCAAATTGCAGCAGCACGTTGCAACGCACAAGCAACGCGCAATTAACCAACCAAGGTTTCCTGCTCCTTCTCGCGCAAGTGAAACGCTTGTTAGCCTACCCCTGCTGCCGACACTTGCAAGCGGCGCCAAGGCAGGCGCGGCAAACACCTATAAACTCCCAAGTCGGCGTAGCAGCTTGCACACACTTGAGCCCGCCGCCTCTCGGGGGCAGTCTCCAAACCTGTGTCAAAAAAGGCTCCCCTCAACACAGACACACGGGCCGAAAAACAGCCCGCATTTCTTGTTCATACGCACTTTTACGAGCAGCACAAACCAAGTCCGCGCAAGAGCTGTTTGGAGCTCTCACGGCGGGCGCAAAAACAACCACGAAAACCCTGCCTAGCAACGCGAAACTGCGCAAAAAAACTTTGCGCCGACGCGCAAGACTGCGTTCGTCATCTTTCAAGTAAGCAGATTGGCCACAACAGCTTACACTTTCGCTGCAGAACCAAGCGCGCGCCTGCGACGCTACACGCAGCAGATTCACAAAACTTTCAGTTGTGCTTGCGCAAAGCATCGAACGCAGCAAATTGCAGCAGCACGTTGCGACGCACAAGCAACGCGCAATTAACCACAAAAGAGTACGACCGACAAATGGCGCGCTTGCTTTTTTTCTTTATGAGGCGTTGCTTGGAAGTCAAGGCTTGGGGGCGCAGGGAGAAAGACAATGCGTTAGAATCTTGATCACTGCTTCAATCCGAAAGGGAACATGCAGTCCAAGTTAAGGCATGTTGCACTGCTCCTATCTTGAACCCAAACCAAACCACCCAAAAGAACAAAGCAAGTCCGAAGCGGCCGCAGTTCTTTTAACCGGGAGTGCTGAAAGTAGCACTGCTTCCAGGGCACGGATGCGCCTGGAGCAGGAGGTGCGTTGACCCCGCGTGAAACTTAAAGGCAAGACAACGCGTGTCCTTGCAAGAGCGTGCAGTGCGCGCAAGGCGTGGCAGGCGTGCCCACGCCGGTCCGGAGACCTAGTGGTCCTGAGACCGTGAGCGGTCCGAAACCGGGAGGTCCGGAGACCATGAACGGAAGTGCAGAGCCTCTCTCTTTAGAGGGGGTTTCCCAAATGGATTCTATTCTAATTGACAGGCTCCTAGCACTCGTCCGTCCAGGAAACGACCTCGTCCTGCGAAGGATTCGAAACCTAAAACGCTGCGTGGAGGCGTGTGGCTGCAAAATAATGACCCCTAGATACGCTTGCAATTTGGCTCCAGGTTGCATTTCAAGCGAGCCAACCTTTGCAGGGCTAAGAAAAAACAAAAAAAAGAAACAAAGGGGTCCCAAAAAAAGGGGTCCCCAAAAAAAGGGAAAAGGGGTTTCCTTTGGCAAAGCTTGACATCGCTTGAAATGCAACCTGGAGCCAAATTGCGGCGCATATCTAGGGGTCATTATTTTGCAGCCACACGCCTGCACGCAGCGTTTTAGACTTCGAATCCTTCGCAGGACGAGGTCGTTTCCTGGACGGACGAGTGCTAGGAGCCTGTCAATTAGAATAGAAT